AAAAAAAAAAAAAAGAAAAAGAAAAAGAAAATGATAATGTGGATTGCTAGCAAGCAATGCAGGCAATCAGAGGAAAGGCCATCACAATCGGGGAACTTATATGAGCATATCAGCTGCTGGGAACTGAGACACCAAGTCGAAACATTGACTATGGCATTAAGGCCTCCTAAAGTGAAAAGGGAGAGAAACCAAAATTGTTTTCTACGTAGACAGCCAGGTCATATGAAGAGTGAGCGCCCCCATATTAGAGACCAAGGTAACTCAGGGAAAAACACCCTTCTATGTTCCCTCAATGTAAAAAGGAGAAAATGGAAAAAGCAATGCAGGTCAAAATTTGATAGATACCCCGTAAGCAGTAACCAGGTGGGAAACGTCTTGAGCAGCCAGCACCAGACCCTGCTTCAAACAGGCACTGCCAGTGACTTTCCTGGGTCAGATGGGAAGCCCTAGTCCTCTACCTCAGAGCAGCCACCTCTGGGAGTGCAAAACTGGACTTACTCTGCCCCAACGAATCAGTGCTAAAAGAAGGAGAAGACCCTAAAAGGGTTGCAACCAGGATCTGGAGCCCATTGCCTCCGGGAATAGTGTGATTAGTCCCAGGGTAGTCCAGCCTATCCAGTAAAGGAATTTATGTGCTCACTGGGGTAATTGATTGTGATTACCAAGGTGAGATACTGGTTATAATGAAATGTAAAGGTATGCATATTCTTCCCCCGGATCAAAGATAGCTCAGTTACTGATTTTACCATACTAGGTCCCCAATGCCCATGGAAAGGACAGGTTAAAGGGAAGTTAAGAAGCACAAGAGTATGTTGAAATCAATTACTGATCAGAGGCCCATTATGACCTTAAAAATCAGAAATAAGACAAGGAGGGGAGCATCACACACTGGGGTCAGTTGGGGGGGGCTGGGGGAGGGACAGTGGAGGGTGGGGAGGGATAACACGGGGAGAAATGCCAAATGTAGATAATGGGGAAATGGAGGCAGCAAACCACCTTGCCATGTATGTACCTATGCAACAACACTGCAAGATCTACATGTGTACCCCAGAACCTAAATTACAATTTTTAAAAAATCAGAAATAAATAAGAATGTTACTCCTTGTAATACAAGGAAAATAACTCCAGGGCAAAAAAAAAGTTACTGGGCACAGCCAGGCAGAGCATGTACCCCCAAAGTGTTGCAATTCAGAAGGAATAAAGGCAGTTATGGAACGTCTAATCATGACCATCCCTGTTAATCTTTGGGCAAAGAACCTATTAGCCCAATGGGGAGTAACTCTGCAGACCCCTTTCTAAAAATGGCCACTATTACCATTTCTCCCCTACTCATGAACCAATTTGGGTAGAACAGTGGCCCCTGAAGGAAAAGAAATTACAGATAGCACATGAATTAGTTGAAGAGCAATTAAAAGCTGGGCATGTAGAACAATCTTATAGTTCTTGGAATTTGCCTGTTTTCTTCATTCCTAAAAAGTCTTGGAAATTGCCGGGCGCGGTGGCTCATGCCTGTAATCCCAGCACTTTGGGAGGCCGAAG